TGGACACAGGCCTTTAGAAAGGACTCGATCGACGAGTCATTCCTGACTGGGTTAGGAATATAGTAAACGATAGAGTCTGCTAACTTCCTGGTTAATAGTTAACTAGAAAATGATAAACCAGACCTAAATAAAATAAGAATATTCTTAAATGTCGCCAGCAGTAATTAACAACGTCAGTGTTTTCTTGTACCGTATCTGGCAATTTTAATAATACAGAAAATTTATTGCGAAAAATGTTATATCATCATACGCCTCGGTGGACGAATTAGTGAGACGCCCACCTAGAGTGTAGGGAGAGGTCCAGGTTCGCACCCCGGCTGAGGTAATATTTTTCGCGATAAATTTTCTGTAGTAAGTAGAACCGGTAAGAAAACGCTCATGTTGCTAAATAAAATAACTCGAAGAGAAACGATAAGTCAAGACGACGTCAATTTGTCATATTGACCAAAATATGACACAAATTTAGTCGATATAACAGCAAATTAACTCTTCGTTTCTCCTTTGGCAATACAATAAAAGCAGGTTCAACACAGGATCCGTAAATTAAAATATTGGAACGCTTTCTGATCTCTAAAACATGACACAATTAACGTTAAATATCAAATTACAATTAGAATGGACTATAATTCGACCTTTGTATAGTTTGCAATATATTTACATCAGTTTACAGTCCACATCAGCTGCAATTTATACGTAACGTTACTTAACGTTTTGTAACTATTAACTGTACACGTCCAGATACTTTCGTACAAAAATAAAGAAATTATTTGCATTTATAACTTATAATATTATAACTTATAAGATAAATGTATTTTAACATCTTAAGATTTTTCTACAGCAGCTTTCTTCACTTTGTCAAGCGCCTCGGGTGTCACTTCAGGATCAGATTGCATAAGATTTATCAGACATTCGCGAACCTCGCGTTCGCACAATATTTCCGCGATCTGTTCGCTGGTACAGAACCCGATTATCTGCGACCAGTATTTACTCAGGTAATCTAAAAGCTCGGCTCTCAGCCCCTCGGGATCCACCTCGGTTTCCGAGCCCGATTCTGAAACTAACACGCAAGTTGTTAGGCGAGAAAGGCGACCGCGCGTGCTCACGATCGAAACAAAACTCGAATTACACACCAGTTTTAACCTTAAGGAAGAAAATTATAGTCGCGATAATGCGATCTATTCTCGTCGGGACGTTCACGTCGCAACGATGGAAACCTAAGAGTACGCGCGCAGCGTCGTAAATCATGCTGGCGCTTAGCCGCTGTAGGGGATACAAATTGTACGACTGCCTGTACGGCTTCAATATCCTGTACATAATCTCCATCAGCTTCGAAAACCGCTCGTCGGTCTCGTAGTCGTCGAATTTAAGCGAGCCGGACTCTATTACGGCGATCAGCACCGCCAGCCAGTGCTGGGCGAACGTCCACTCGATGTGCCCGCTCGTCTTTCTCGTCGAAATCACCTGCGTGAACGATTCCAACAGCGCAGGAATCAGGTCGTCTATTTTGCACAGTTTCTCCAAGAAACTGCTCTCATTCAGTGGACCTATCTCGGATATAGATTCCAGCAGCTTTATCGCGCCTATTAACAAGTCGTCTGCGACAGAGATTTCGAGAGATTATGTCAACTGTACAAAGGGGCTCTTTCATGTATTACAGAAACGTACCATTAGTCGAACTCTTTAGCATAAACGTTATAGAGTCCCCGAAAAACTCGCATTCCGTCAGATGAGCCACCCAATGCGATTGGTGATCCTGCCGGATCTTCCACGCGACTATCTGCAAGATCCTGATAAGCTGAATCAGAATCAGCGAGTCGCCGGACGCCAAGTGGCTCAGGATCTGCGCGACCAGCTCTCGATCGCGGCCTATCTTGTCGACGGCCTCGTCGTTGCAGCACACATTGCCAATGATACCCAACATCATTTCCTGAAAATACATCCTCGGCTTTTGAAAATTCATACTGTCGAGACAGCGTCCGCAGGACTCGATTAGACGGCAACAAATCGTACGGTCAATCGCGGCTCGCTCGAAACCACCAGCGTGTCCTTCGCTATCTTGGGAAAATCGTACGACATGAGATGCGACGCCACTTCGCCTTCCATACTCAAATCCCACAGGGTACACAGCTGATCTTCCAGCTCTTCCGTCCAGCCGCGCTTGTCGACCTGAAACAAAAACACACGGTGTCTCAAACCCGTTTATCTCACCATCAAATCTACCAAGGATTGCGCACAGATTGAACTTGATAAAAAGGACTGAAAAGCAAATTGAGCTGCGATGAAAAAAAAAGAAAGATTATGTTGGACGAGAGAGAATTTCAAACAATATTCAGCTTAACGTTGCCATTCAATTCTGACTCGCAGGATATTATCACGTAAAATAGTTAATACGTAAAGAGTAAATTTCCAAAGAAATCACCTCGCACAGAGACATCAGAGTGTTGATTATCCACTTGCTACTGCAGAGATTATCACCCACGGCGTCGCCTCTCAACACTTCTAGCTCCTGTTCACTGACATCCTGTGAATCTATCATGTCAGCAGTTCTGTCGAGTACCTTCTGCAGTTCACGTAGTTGGGTTGAAAACGAGCAAATAATTCAGAGCTCGTTCATGATAAAAGCACTAAACAATTGTATACAAATCAGTGATTGCGCTTTAGGTTAGAAAGATCCGAGATCTCTTAAAGAAGCAAATAACAGCAATTCTCTTACCCGCGAGAGGAAATAGTTGCTGAGAAGGAATCGTCTTTCCTACGGATAGATTTTTAACGATTTTAAAGTCGAAAGCACAGTCTACCGGACCGACAAGTCTGTTTACTTGCACCACCGAGCAGTTTTTGAAACGAGATGGACGTATAGTTCTCCACATCTCCGCATTGGAGACGGAGAAAGAGCGAGAAACTCGAGTGCAAATAAAACGAGCGGATATTTGAAACGCAAACTTCGGTTGCAAATTCCTTCGTTTCGTTCTCGCCAGAGATGACACAAATCATACATTTTGTGTGTTCAAAATGTATGATGAAAAAATGAACGCAAAAAGTATGTAATTAGCCGAAACACATCAAGTAAACGTCTCGGTTTCAGAGGATTCAGATAAGAATACTTTAACGAGTTCTCTCACGCTTATTTAATTCTTTAAGAGACTTAACACTTAATTTTCAACAATCTGACTGCTTAACATTGAGCATAATTGGACATTAACCTTGATCTCTAGAGATTTACAATTCGAGCGCTTAGAATTAAGAATCAAGATATTCATCCCTTTTTTCTGACGCAGTAGTTGTAACATTTTGGGATACTAGCGTTAGATACAACTGGCAAAAGTACTTGATAAAAATACAGAATGTTCTATACTTCGGTGTCGACACCACAGTGCTGAGTGTTCGCGCAAAGTTCCAACTTCGATCAACATTACAATATAGACGACACTACATCATATATCGCGATCAGCCGCGCACACTCGCGCACATGTAGATTTATAAAATTTATAAACGGTACGTCTCCGGACTTGTCAGCTTAAGTTAAAGAAAAAGTTTAAAACGCACACACCGTCAAAATATATATCTTTTACCAGCGTCAACTTATAGCAATAACTCCAGCTTATCCGCATTGCGCCAATACGCCATTATTAAAAATATACTCGGAAATTTACGTTGCAAGATATGTTAAGATTGTAAAATAAGTTATTTTCCGTATTTTGAGTTACGGAGCGATCACGTCTGCGTGACGTTTACACCTTTGTAGATGCGCACATGTACACGCGGATAAAAACAATAGAGAGAGAGAGAGCATCGACTTAGGCGGTATTACAAGACGGATTGCAGTATCTCCATCGGCACCCGCATCGTCTGATCGTCGACGAGCACGATGTCGAAGTGTTCCATAAACGAGTCCAAGCTAGCCTCCACCTGGAAGAATAGACGAGATTAGACGCCGCGCGATCGTTAGCCCGCGATCCACCGGGATCTCGACACTCACGTGCTCGTAAAGGAATCCGATTTTCAGGATCACGTTAGTGTCCTCTATTCCCTCCACCATGCTGGCGTCACCGATCGTGTCGCCCATCAGCAACACATTCTGTCTCTTTTGAAGTATCTTCAGATAATCTTTCGCCAGCGCGCACTCATTCTTGTTATACACGTGTATGAGCACGTCGTTCTTAAATCCATCCAATTGATTTCCGTTATACTTGAGAAAGTTGGAGATTACTTTTACATTATCGAAGAGAGCATTGTGGTACCTCAACACAGCCTCCACTATGTCGCCCAGACCGGCGCTAAACACTACGATTGGTATACTCGCGTTGTACAGTTTCTCAAAAAGTTCTTCGGTGCCGTCGCGCAATATGTCGTCGAACGTGCGGGCTACCTCCTCCAATTCGTGAGAATCGAACTCGATACCCTTTAATAAGTTTTGCGCGGCGGTCATCCAATCGCGCATAGCGTCCGCCTTCTCGCTCACCGGCATGTCTGGGTCTATCTCCATGGGTCTGTACTTGTTGTACAGATGCTTGGCCTCGTCCAAATACTGCTGTGGCAATTGCTTGCACTTTCGGAACATTCCTGAAATTATATTTCAATGTTAACGCACAGTTGAACAGAAATGGACGAGTATGTCTGTATGAATTTCGGGGTCTGAGCAGAGCGTTGCGTCTTCTACTCTTAAGACAAGACAGTTATCGTGCTTTACTTTAAAGTCTGATCTACGTGTTCTTCGCGTCTAGAAACATTCCATTTTGTAGCCAATAAATGCGTTTAAATGTGCGCAAGTTGACAAATTGCGCATTATACATCGTACAATCGTAAACTGTCTACAAATTTTTTTCAGCATTTTGATTTGCTTATGTAAAATTGAATGCTTCTAGACGCAAAGAGCGCATTGTAGTTTGAGACAAAGATTTCAAACATTGCCTTAAGAATAGAATGAGACATTCTGTCTACGTGAAAGAAAAAGGACCGACATGTAGTTCTAACTTTTAACAACTCGTTGCAGATCGGGTCTCAACCTCACTCCAGTTTGCATGCAAACTGCCGAGGAAAATCAGCGGGCGAGAAAGATGGAGCGTGATAAGACAATCAACTCTCTCTACTTTTTTTAAACAATAAGTCATCATTTACTTACCAAAGCTACTCAGTACATGCCTGCCGTTTATGTGTTGCTTCGTAATGGTTAAGTCGAAATCCGTGACAACCTACGCAAGTAATTGTAGATGAATCGAAGTGGCGACTTCAAGGGATACAAATAAATGCACATACTTGCAGATTGTTCGCGCCGCCCTGCCGTAACGTATTTATCGTCCTCTGGAGCGCAGCCTTGTCCCTGATGTAAACATGTCTCGACCCCAAAGCGGGAAACTGTAAACGGACAACACGTTACGGAGTGCCGTCGGGGAGAGACCGCGTCGTCGGCTGGGACCATCGGCGTTACTCACCTCGTCTAACGTAAGTTCGTTGCTCATCGTCGTCGGCGGCGCGGATTTGTGTGGAGGGTCCGGTAATCCAACGAGATCGGTCGCCCAAACGTTTCGTCCCTCGTAACGTGCCAACGTGCGGTGCACGTTGCCGAGATCCTTGCCAACCAACCACGAGGCAGTGCGCATGCCGAGTGCACGTTATACGTTATACCGGGTATCTCGTAATACACGGTTCCCTTTTGGCCGTGTCGATCCAGTGATTGGATCGGGAGCCAACAATCAGACCAACAACAACAACACGGTTCCCTCTCCCAGTGTCATCACTTATTATTATAGCGTTTTCCACTGGGAAAACTAGTGCAACACCGGTCCACACTGAGTGCAACTGTCTTGAAAATCTGTGAAATCACTGTGAAAATCAGTTAATGCATTTCCCAGATAGCACAAAGATGAACATAAGTTCATAGAGAATTCATTTTAAAGAAAACATACAGAATTAGAAAAATGAATATCTGAAGAATTCTTGAAGAATATATTAGTCTCAATCAGTTCGTCTTGAAGTATTCTTCTGAAGTTCATTATAATGAATTATACTTCGCGATTCAGTACTGTGAATACTTTAAGAGTTTATAAGGAATTATTTGTCATGCGCGAGTATCCGCTAACCGCCATCCGGACGTTCTTGTGCAGCATGTTACCACGTGCAATATTTTGTGTGCGTAACGTTATGTGCAATTAATTTGGTGCAACAGTTCTATTGTGTAAAAGAAAGAATCGAACGACGAGAACCGAAACGGAAGGATCATCCGATTGTCAACGAGCTTCGGTTGAGAGTATCTCACTGTTAAGTGAGAAATTATAATAATGGTGTAATGTTACTGCATATTAGATGTGTACATACATTTGGGTAAATATTTTGTAATCCTCTTTGTTCTAACACTATTCCCCTTGAATTCATAAAGTTTACATTTATTGAATTCGAGATGAATACTTTAAGAAGTTGTCAGGAAAACGATGTATGGTGCATGTAACTTCCTCTGTCACTCTTATTGTATTCTTCTATGAATTCCTAAAGAATTACAATTCAGAAAAAGAACCCTGTTGAAAATACCCGATTAAAACCGATTGAAAATTTTGAATCCGCATGAATCTGGATTCTTGATGCGGAAAATACCGATTGACGCGGATAGTGTCAGATTTGAATCGTGTTCAATCAGAAATTTCCAGATAGATTTTGATCCGCGTCTATCGGTTTCAATCCGTGATAAAAGTTCGCCGATTGGAACCGATTAGTGCGGATTAAAGTCAATCTGGAAAAATTGTATTAAAAACAATAGACAATTCAGATACAAATTCGCCGACTGGAACCGATTGGTGCGGATTCAAGTCATTCCGGAAAAGTTGTATTAAAAACGATTGTTAGACTTCGTCAGAAAATCCGATAGAAACCGATTGTCACTGCTTCAATTCTATCTGGAAATACCGGATTGAATCAGATTACGGATTGAATCCGATTGATCTTGCATTTTCACCAATCCGGTGCCCGATTGGCCCGATTGATATCGAATTGAAACCGATTAATTTTTATAGAAATCAATGCGATATCTATCGGTTTGAATCGGGTATTTTCAGCAGGGAACACTTAAAGAATACTTTGTGAATTCAGTGTGCTATCTGGGTTTCAGTGTTCAATGTTCTACCAGAGAGAAACCTGAGAGCGGCCACGCCGACGTTTTACTTGATACCGTTTCAAAAGACCGTTTTGCGCGCCTCTACGCCCACTTTTACTTTCGACCTATTTTGCTATGCATCTTCTGACACTGCCGATAAAGCCTCCACTTTGTGCGTGTCCATGCTACGCCTATTTTTCAGGATTGTGCTGTGACATTCAAAATTGCATTAACATAAATTATCTGCATGACATTTACATCAACTTTTCTCATATAGACAATGTAAATTTTATAAATTAGATGTCAGAATGCATAGCACAGACATGCACCAAGTGACCATGGAATAAATGTAAATATTGCACGATAAACATTATATGTATAGATTTGTATTGGACGTGCATTGACCAATATTTAACAATGTAATAAGAACATCGGTCTAATATTGATACAATATTAAACCAATACTGCTAAATAGACATATTGTTTAACCCTTTGCACTCCGAATTATATTTCATCTATTTTCATCTATTGGTTTGGACTTGAAAAAATGTCGAGTGAGACTCGACAAAGGAGCTCCTGAGATAAAAACTGATGTCGAATCACACGCGACATAGGAGTGTAAAGGGTTAAATAAGACGAGGCGTCCATCGTACAATATTGGACCAATATTGGGAATACTGGGTTTACATTATTTCCCACTATTGCGCCAATATATTGTGCTACCAGGGATGTTTTTACATTCTCTTCTAATTGTAAGAGAAAATTTTTTAACTGGTTCTGGTCACACTCCGATTAATTGGAGGTTCAACTAAAAGGCCTCGATCGTCTACATAGAAGTCGTAAAGTCGTAGTCGTAAGAATAGTCGACTATGATTAATTAATTCTTATGTGTCTGACTGAATTAATCAATTACAGTCGATTATTCTTACGACTGCGACTCTGCGACTTTCATTGTAGACCCCGCATAATACAATTTACTTTCGCTGGCACAAATAGAATAATTATAAGCTTTTGTTGTTTTGTATAGTTAGAAATTGTATTGCAATTTTGCAGATTAAATTAATCACCGGTTAATTGAATTTGCGAATCAATGTTGCGCCTCGAAATATTATATTTTCTTTATAAAAAGCAATTTCATTTAATGAATTTTTTATTTTTAATAGGATGAAATCAAAATGTAGGATAAAAAGAGATCACGCGCAAGACAAATATAAAACCTGAATCTACAGATAATAAAATCCTGTAAAAGCCGACAGCGACGGAGCACAAGGGCGAGAATGAGATGGAAGATTTTACCTTTGAAAATGACGAATTAAAATATTTAACGATGATGCAAGAGAAGGTGACGTAAATGCAAAAAAGGACAGGCAGGCCCAGATAGCACACATAGTTCTATGAATATTCTTCTGGAGTGCAAATATACTTAATTTAAAAATATCCCAATCGAACATTCGATAAATATATGTAGATTATTACAATTAGAAATCGTATATTTATAACAAAGAAGAACGTTTTTAGAATATTCGTTGAGAATGTCTTTGGAATATTCGTTCAGAATAAATTTTTAATATATAAACACATTGATTATTGTGTAATACACTTATCTTATGCAAAGGCAGTGAAACCTGTGATCATACCATATATAACCGACACGCTATATTCGATAGATTATTCTATTCATATTCGAAAAAGATTTATAGTAGTGCCAGTCGAACGTTCTACGAACATTAAATATATAAGAATGACCTACGAAATATTCCAAATATTCTTGACGAATATTCTTAAAATGTTCATAGGAGTGTCTTGTGCTATCTGGGGGAATGCCTGGACATTTATATAATGTATTCCATAATTATAGAAACGCCCAGGCATTTCTGCCTATCTGTGTACAAATCTAATGAATTTATAATGTATTTGCTAAAAAATCGGGAGAGCGTAAGTAGAAATTTTGAATGCAAACCAATGCAAACATGTTTGAATTATGGCTTAAAGCGGGAACACGTTGTAATCGAATAAAGAAACAAGTCTGTTCTTTTTAGTTGAACCAGTGCAGTCAATTGAGCTGCAAAGAACAGACCCTAGGATAGACATTAAGTCCCAGTCTACAATAGAGATTTAAGCCCTAAGCCTTAAGAAATTGACTAATCACAGTCGCGCATTCTACTCATACTTGACCGTGATTGGCCAATTTCTTAAAGCTTAGGGCTTAAATCATCTATTGTAGACTGGGACTACAGCTGTTTTCCTTTTAGTCCCAGTCTACAATAGATGATTTAAGCCCTAAG